GACTGATTGAGTTTAGACAACACTATTATTATGTGATATAGAAATTTGGCGCATTAGCCCTCAGTAATTTAGAAAATGCATCAAACTACCATGTGTTATTATTAATCATGCACAAAATCCTTTTTATGAACAAATTTAATTGTCAAATAAAAGCAAAATAGTTAATATTTTTGTATAATGTAGAGATTTTGACAAATTTACTTGCATATATCCAATCATAATATTAATAAAAGAGATTTTAAAATTGATAAATTTTATACGGAGTATAATTTTGTGAGAGAGGCCGCGTGGAAAACCCTAAGAACCAAAAATGATCTTGTGTGGCGTGGCGGCCAAGATCGGATTCTAAAGGCAAGGATATCAGAATCCGTTGTTGTGTTAATTTGTTTTTGCTTCGTTTTCCGAGTTGTTGTCCCTAGTGTTTTGTTCCGGCTCATCTATGACCGAGATTTGGTTGATGTTTTGGTTTTGGAACGACATCCTTTTCATTGAGTGTTGTTGATTCCAATTGAAGTTTATGTGTGCGTCGTGTTAGGATTGTGTGTTATGTTTGTGAGTTGTTTTGCGCATCTTGCCATTATGGAGATGATTACCAAGATTACAACATGATATCCATTGCTGAGGAAGAGAATAGGGGTCTAGTACTCGCAACAGATCCGGAGGGGAAAGCACCGTCAATAATCGGAGATTTTTGTGACATACAGGAGGAACCTTTGGCAGAGACGAGTCAAACCGTTGTCTCCTTGCGAGTTGCGAGGGTGGCTGAAAAAACTGGATATTGTCCTTTTTATGTTTTTTTATCTTCTCATAACTACTTTATTTTTTATGTTATCCTTTGTAGTAGCAGGTGCAACATTGTTGTTAATGAAGTCTACCATATTGCGTGATTAGCGAGTTGGACCGTTGTTAAGCGTGACTCCAGCTTTGAGTCTTATCCCAGTGTAGCCTTTGATAGTTTGATATGATGAATGTGTATCCGTTTCTGATCTTTATTAATAATAATTAAGTTTCCTTTTATTAAAAAAAATTGATAAATTTATTCACAAAAGGAATTATGGGCATGAATAATTATAACATGAGAGTGTTTGATGAAGTTTTTAAATCACATGGGACTAATGTGCTCAATTTCTATATCACGAGAGGGTTTGGTGCATTAAACCCGATCAGAAAAAAGAATGTGGACATGGCTTTTTTTAAGAAAAAAGAGCTTTTATTGATCGAATAAATAAAAGAGGATACAAAGAGAATGTGAACATGGCTAAATAATGTGATTGAACTTTAACAAGAACGTCTATGCTCCATATATAGGTACACCAAACGGGAAACTGAAGTTATTAGAGACATTTTATGCAACACGTCAACTATACACAGACATAAGGACAGGTTAAGAACCACTGATATCTTTCATATTGTAATCAATCAAGCCATCCGGTTAAAATTAAGGAATCCGGGCCTGCCGTGCCCACGGGTGTGAAGCTGTTGTTGGACTCCCTCAAAGTTGGCAAAGTGTGTAAAGCTTTGAAGGCCCGACCCTCCTCTACTCGCGCTGTTGTTCCCGTTGTGAGCAGGTTGAGGAGTCTCACCTGCTTCTATCTTAAGCCGTTGCAATTCTTCCCTCAGCCTCTCATTTAAAGCTGATACATATTCATGTGCACAAAAAACATCAGAAAACTGCTTAAGGTTGTCAAGTAAGAGGTTATTTGGCTGTAATGACCGATAGTTCACCTAAACAAAAAGTGTTCAGGCAGTTCAGTAAGTCGTTAACATTCAATTTCAGCCAAATAAGTAAGTCAAAAGCTAGTTGTTTATCCAGCTTATTTGGATCACTATCATGGTGATAAACATAATCAAGAACTTGCTACCAAACAACGCCTTAGTTAAAAATGCAAGACCCTGAAAGTGAGTAGCATACCATCTCTAAGATGGGCTTCTTGTTCGAAAGCCTGCAGCCGCAATTTGAGTTCTTTATTCTCAGCAGTCAGCCCACAAGTATCTCTCTGTACTCGCAAAAGAAGCCCATTAGGCCATTACAGGTTTCACTACAAGCAATAAGAATCAGTCAAAAAACTAAAGAACTGGTGTGTATATAGTATGTACCAAATACCTGGAGCAGAGTAATCTGTGCAGAAAGAGTGGTGGCTTCAGTCTGAAGGGTCTGCACTTTCCTTTCCAACTCATTTGTGTAACGTATCTTCCTCTCCTTCGAACGCGCTGCAGATTGCCGGTTTGCCAGGATCCTACATACATATTACTCATTTATAAGTGATTATTTTGGAAACAGTCTCTCTGTGCTTTGTTACACGTATAAGACTGCGTATATTCAACACCCTTACCCCACCGTAGGTGGGAGCCTTTGCGTCACTAGGGTGATGATGATTTATATGTGATTATCTTGAAGAGTTGCACTGCTTTGCTTGTTGTTGAGAAAATTAGTGATTTAGTCCTTTAACTTATGCATGCACTGATTATTAGTTTTACAATTCCACTCATTTGCAGATCATGTATTATTATAACTAAAAAGTTCGTCGACATTTAGAACGTTTTCACCAAATTGTAATATTTAACGTTAGCGGCAGCTTTTCAGGTAAAATTTTCCGCCAGAAATAGTAAATTCCGATCGAAATGTCAAACATGATCTACAATTGAATAAAACTATCCAACTAATTATGGCCACAAACATAAATTACAAGATACAGTCAATTATAAATTTCCTTTTCATGTAGTTTTAAAGAAATAATTGAAATCCTCAACCTCTATGTTTTCTCGAGAATTGTGCGACCATTGGGTCCCACTTCAATAGGTGACTATGGTACGCAAGGCACAATGTTAACATGCATCTAGGAACACTATGTAATAGATACAATAACATATATATTACATTATTACTAAAATAACAAAAAAGTGATTTGTTATAGGGTACATTGGGTGGCTTTTAGTTACTATGATTATGTTCAATTTCACACTACAAGACCATGATGTTACACTCAAGTTAACTTTAGTCACATTTCTGTCAATGAGTTTGATTTATAATAATATTTTAGAAAACTTAGTCACATTTTTAACTTTGGTCAATTTAAACCATAATGCAATCACATCCACGTATGTGTGTACAGTGTTATATATATAATGTCAATGTTCATGTCAATTTAAACCATAATGCAATCACATTTTTAACTTTGGTCAATTTAAACCATAATGTAATGTCAATGTTCATGTCAGGCCGGCCTGACGGGCTGCCCCGTCCGGCCGAGCCCGTTTGGGCACCTTCCCGGTGGAATTTTTTGATGAAATTTTTTGAGCATGTTCCTCATCAAGTCTAGTTTGTCCATACCAAATTTCAGCTCAAAATTCGATCGGGAAGGTTGTCAAATGATTTTTGCAAGTTAACTGGTCCGGAATATGTATTTTCCAGACCAGTTAACTTGCAAAAATCATTTGACGACCTTCCCGATTGAATTTTGAGCTGAAATTTAATATGGACAAACTATACTTGACGAGGAACATGCTCAAAAAATTTCATCAAAAAATTCCACCGGGAAGGTGCCCAAACGGGCTCGGCCGGACGGGGCAGCCCGTCAGGCCGGCCTGACATGAAGAGCACTCTATATATATATATTCTATATATATATATAGAATATAAATTCACAGTAGAATATACTCCATATATAGAAAATAAAACTACACTTAAAAAGTATTCCATTCCATTCTACTTTTATCAAATGTTACCTTAGTGCCTTGGGGGGGACTGGGACCCATGTAGCCCCACACCTCCACTCCCTAGACAATCAGAACATATACTTGATAAGGTAGGGTCAAGTTAGGGAAGAAAAAAATAGAGACTAGGGACTAGGTGTGTGGCTAGGCATGGACTCTTAGAACAGATTGTATCCTAAGGGTGTGTTTGGAGGGCAAAAATTTCATACATTATAGGCCAAACAGATGGATAGAGTTTGGAGGGCAAAACTTTGGATGATTAAATTACTTGATGTTTAATAAATTTCGACATTATAGGCCAAACAATTGTAATAAAATATTTCTGAGTTTTTTAAAAGTGTTTAATTTCTAAAAGTTTCAGACTTCCATACATTATAGCCCAAACATCACCTTCAACAGTTTCCGGACATTATAACAATATAAGCCCAGCCCCTCCAAAACTACTAACCACATTATAATATTATTCATACTCTGCCTCTTTGGCTAGTAATCACATTTTAAGTGTACAGAAAACACTCTATGAAGCTCAAGGCATTGAACAATTTTTGGTGCATAGAAATTTGGTAAATATAATTCATTCTTTTTCTAATGTGGCCGATACTTAAATAAGGAAGAACTAAACAACTTTTCATTCTAATGCATTATGCCACATATGAATATTGAAGACATAGAATTTTGATTTATCCAATTAATTTTTATATTATCTAATAAATTTAATATTTAATATTTGATACTCTGTATAAGATAATTTCAAGTTTGTAATATAAACTTTGACATTATCTAATATTTAAAGATTAATTTGGATAATACTTCGATATTATCATTTATTCCGAACTTTACGATAAATAGGGGTCTCCTTTGTAAGAAAAAAAAGGAGAAAAAATCATTAACTTAATTTAATTACTACGTATTATATTCTCACCACAAAAATATTCAGTTCATTGACAAGAGCATCAAACTGTCAGCATTTTTTATCGATCAATTTTTTCCCCATTGTTTACAAATATAAACAAAGAATAGTTTCACAAATTTATATTGCTTTCGTTCCTCAAAACTTGGCCAACTTTTACTTTTTAAATGTACTTGCATGGGTAACTCAACAATTTTTAGAGTAAACTTTTACACAAGGGCAATTAGGATGCTGATCCAACTTTCTTAAATTCTGTGCTAAAAAGCACAGGAGTGTCAATTTGGAAGAGAGAGTGTACTAAAAATGTACATCTATTTTTATCTTTATTCCGCCATTACGCATCATTATTCACATTATAAGCTTCTCGCCAAAACTGTACTTCAAGGATAGATGGGGCATCTTTTTCTTCTTCTTTTGATCATGAATGGAAAATCAAATTATTACTCTTACAATATGAAAAAGGCATTTTCAGGAATATTACAAAATTAAATTAACAGCCCATTTGGTGACCTTTTTTCCGGCTTATCAGGCTTATCAGCCAGCTTTTTCATCAAACACGTAACTTTTGATTTCGCGCGTTGTATTTTGTAATAAGCAGAAAAAATATAGTTGAAGTTGCATTTCTAACTGTATTGGCTTAAGCTACTGTAGAAGATCATTTTAGCTATTTTTTCATATAATTTTTTATTTATTTTATTAATAACAAATATTTTAAATATAATTTTTTTCATGAATCAGCTGAATTAGCCAATACAACCACTTCAGACAGAACTTCATAAATTTCAGTAGAATCGGCCAATTTAGCCAATTTTAATGTTACCAAAGCTCTAGAAAAATAAGAATATGACTTGTTTTAAAATTTTCATAAATGTGACATATTTACTGACCGTGACTCGTCATTTAAAGTGACTTAGTTCATAGTAACTCATACAAAGTGACTTAATTCACACACAGTAACTCATACATCATACGTAGTACATGTCATTTTTTCTATGAGAAATTGTAGATATCGAAAATAATATGGAGTAAAACAATAAAAATAAGAGAGGGTCAAAACCGTCAAACCTTTTAGCTCTCTTGGGGTCCATCAAAGCCAGCTCCGCAAGTCTATCAGCTTCCGTGCCTTTCTTCTCCGAGATAAAACCGACCTCAAACGACGTAGTACCGAAAGACCCGTCCATGGAGTTACTGTGCCTATGGCGTGGGCCCGGACTCATAAGCTTCCTCTCCGATGAGAGTGCCGTCGCCGCTCCACTGACGACGGAGGACGAACCCCCAAATTCCAGACCGTCGAAGAAGTCGGAATCAACAGAAAGGCTCCGGAAATGGGTCGCCGGCGTATAGTCGAAGGCAAGCTCCGGAGATCGCGCCGGCATGGCGGCGGAGGAGGAGTCGGCAGAGTTGGCCGGCTGCTGCATGGGAGGGGACAGAGAGCAGGCGGCGAGGGATTCATGGCTGAAGTCTGCAACGACGTCGTCGAGGAGGATATCGTCGTCCAGCTCCGGGAAGCGGAAGAAGGTTTCGGACTGGGTCCGGCGATGGCGGGACCCACGGGTGGGTGTGTCGGGCATCTGGTCGAGGTCTGCTCGGCCCAATAGGTATGGGGCCGGATTCAATTTCCCGGCGAATTTCGGGTCCATCATCAGCAAAGATCAATCGAAGTAGCGGAATAATCTCGATGAAAATAATTGGAGCGTCATTAACTAGTTACGCGACGAAGGGGCAAAGTCAAATAGAGTATTAAGAGATTCTTAAGCAGGGCCCACTCTTGCGCGTTCTAAGCTGTACCAAATTCTTCTTCTGGATCCTATGGCCCATTTGTACGGCCCAGATATTGTCGAATTTTCTTGCAAAATGTTACTCTATATTAAGCTCTGCTATGATTGGGGGATTTGGGGCTGGCCTTGTTATATACTTCGTACTTATATACTGTAATACTGAGCAGCTTACTGATATTGCGGGCTCGAATTCAGAAAATTCGGATCTTCATCTAGCCCATTTTGTAGTGCCAATTTGCCAGTTATAATTCGGGCTATCAATGGGTCGGAGTCGGATACGGGCCGAAAATTGATAAACCCAACATATATTCTTCCGATAATCTGTAATAAATTTACCATTTAATGTCCGACACTTCAATGATCGACCTCAGTTATCTCATTTTATATGCTAATATAAAAATCATAATAGTCCTGATCCAATTTAACTTATTAATATAGGTGGACTGGTCCAGTTATGGTCTTGGGTCGGGCGGTCCGTGGAGAAAAAATATGCATTGAGCCTGGGATTGTGAACTATATAGGGAGAATTTGACATTGCATCCCGTGTTTTAGGTGATATTTGAGTTTCCACCTTAATTTCAAAATCATTCATGCACCTTAATTCACTATAAAATTATTTGATTACACCCCACTCCTTCACAATTTATGTGTTAATGGGGTGCATACATTAATGATTTTAAAAATAGGGTGGGAAAGTCAAATATCACCCAAAATATGGGGTGTAAAGTCAAATTATCCCAACTATATTTTCGGCTCTAGGCCAAATGTGCTCACCTTGCCAGCCCCGATCCAATTCTGGTCTCATTTGTACTTCTTTTGGTTTAGGGGCCTGATTGCAAAAACGCAAATAGTTCGAGATTTATTTGTCTGCTTTCTCTTTTTATATTGATTTGAAACCCTCCATTCCCTTTTCAGCTCACATTTTTTCAATTTTTAAGTATACACACCCTTTTAAAAAGTTATCTGATGGTTCAAATGCAAAAAGAAAAATGGAACTGATACAAAACAGTTGGTTCCCGTCCCAAAAGTTGAGGCCCAAAATTTGGACTTCTTAACAACTAAGATTTACAAATTATATAAGTAAAACATTCAAAATTATACGGAGTATAATAAAACATTCATATGTTATATAAGTAAATAAAAAAATGTTTTAATCAATTCAATAAAATTAGACATTGCAAATCATTTTAGGGCGTAAGAAGTACATACTTCGTATATTTCACGAGAGCATGTTTTGATGTGTGTGCATGAATGGGGAAAAAAAGTAAAAGTTGTTGAACGGATAGAGAGAAATATGTAAATTCCTTGAAGGAGTATATAAAGTCAATTCGAATGATATTTCATAGGAGGAAAAGAAAGAAGCACATCAATGTTATAAGTTTTAGTGTAGATTTTATGAAATAAATTTTGAAGTTATTTTTTAAGGAAATTATTATACGAGTAAAACATTGCATTTGCATATATGATATATGGAGTATATGCTAATTAAGTTGCTAATGATCCGTGCATCATGGGGTACATGCACTACCACACGTACGTACGTCGTCCACACTCCTCGTTAGTCAGTCCAAACAAATTAAAGCAACGTTTTGCACTTTAGCCTAAAGATATTAAAGCAAGCTTACGTACGTATATAATTAGATTAGAGACGTTCCTTCACGTCTTTGAATTGCATTAATTTTCTACAGTAGTACGTCTCAAGCTATATTTTTTTTACCATTGTTGTTGTCAATGCATCATCGCCAATAATAATTTAAAGGAAGATGAATGGGGTGACACGACATGCACTCACCACTGCAACCCCACACAAACAAAATAAAGATGTCATATACGTAGTACAATGCTAGAGATTAGAGAAAAAAAAAGTGTTTGATAAAAAAGGGCTAGAGATTTGAGAAGTTATCTCCTCATGCGTTCCGTCCCACCAAGGCCATTGGGGCCCTTTTCGGTAAACTTTTTTTATAAAACTTTTTTTACATGTCTTCATTACGTGAATACTATTGCCACGAAATTTTAATTTAAAATAAATTATTGCAATGAAATCAGTTAAATAAATTATTGAAACATATTGTGTTTTAATGTAAATACATAAAGCGCAATATGTTTCAATAATTTATTTAACTAACCAACTTCTAGATTGAATTTTAAGATGAAAGTTTGAGAAGATAATATACACTTGATGAAAAAAACTCAAAAAAATTATCATAAATTTTCACTAGAAAGGACCCCAAATAGCCTTGTCCGAACGGCGCCCTCCGTGTGGAGCGCCTGATGAGAAGAGATCTTTGTAGTGCTAATCCTTCAATCTCTCTTGTAATGGGGGATTGGGGGCGATCTATTATTTTGCATTTATCTCTCTGTCACATGTTCATCATACATATTTTTGTATTGGAGATGTTCTTATTGCTTGAAGCTTACACTAATCGGAGCAGCGCACCTTTTTTTCGAACAAGATTAGATCCCAAATAAAGTTGTAAATGTGTGCATGATCTGATCCTGATAGCCCGCTTCAATCAAGCATGTTTTTTAGCTGAAAAGACGAATAATCCAAACTTTACAAGCAATTAGTTGATGAAGCAACCCCACCAAAAAAGCCTTATTATGTTCAATGCATGCAGCCACGCAGCTAGCTCATGATTATAATACTTCAATTCATTTAATTACAAGGAGTGTGTAAGTTATTGTAACCGAAATTATTGGATTTGAACTCTTTTGCTTTCATTTGGAGGGACACTTTCGGTGCTAACTCATCACCTGAGTATGTTTGGCGGAAGCCGCGCGCGGAACTACTTCTTTTTTAATGGAAACTGTCAAATTAATACTCCGTATTAATCTAAACAATTGTTCGCCAAAAGGTTAAAAATACATTCTGCAATAACACTAAAAGAATTATCACTCATTTGAGAAATCACAACTCTAGCTAAAGTATGAGCTACTTGATTGGCCAATTGTTTGCAAAAATTGACATTAAAACTAGCTTCACAATGAAGAGAATGTCTTATATCTTCAATAATCAGGTCGTAATACTCTCTCCGTCCCAATTTGTTTTGCAAAGTCAACATTTTTTTGTCAACCAATAATAAAAGTCAATGCTCTGTATCGATAATTAATTTAATTTTTAATAAATAAAATGTATATATTCAGAAACTGCATTAAACTCTCTTTAAAGTTGTAAACTCCAAATTAGAATATAATTAACAATTGACATTCTAATTAAGTGAATAAAATGAAGTTGTTTGACCAAGAAAAGACAAATTTGCAAATCAATTTGGGAGGGAGCTGGTAGTATGAATTACGTGTGCCCTCTGCGTGCAAGTCTAGATATAACTAGCAACTCATCAATCTCAATTATGAACCATCTCCAACCTTGTTCCTATGACCAACTAATGGCCTCTTTTACCCTCACTGCCTCTGTCGTGTACGCTGATCAAGCTGCCACAAGATTATGATCTTCCTCTAATAAAGTTGTTTCCCTCGTCCGTGACCGCGGAACTAATTGTTTTCTTAACTTTTTTAGTAAATGTTACTCCAATGTGTATATAGAATTAAGAGAAATTTTCTAAAGAGCCAATTTATTCTTTCCAAAAGTAGACTTATTCACACGTACTACAAAAAAAATTACAGGATTGACACAGATTTGGTACACATTGACCGGTGATTTCGTGTCGACTAGCTTGTGCCAAAATGCTTTTGGCATACATTTGGCATATCTCCCTGCAAAATCCTCAATGAATTTTGGTGCCAAAATCTCTGTCAATCCCATGTTTTTTATGGATGTTTTCTTTTGTACTGTTTTCAGTCCCACACCAGACCAGATCAGACAAGACCAGATCAGACTTGACTTTCGTAGTTATAAAATACACAGAGATTAGACATTTACCAGACCAGACCAGTTCAAACCAGATCAGACCAGACCACACTAGCAAATTTTAGTCCAAAAGATAACCGGTGCCGATCCTACATAAACTCGGACCTGAGTCGAGCTTTCATAAAAGGGCCCTCTATACATAGTATTTGTTTTGTAATACAACATACTCCCTCCGTTTCAAAATAAACCTCACAGTCAAACTTTTTGGGTCAAACTTGTTAAACTTTGACCGCTTATTACTCAAAATTAATAATATTTTATCCCAAAAAAATTATATAATGTGCTTCATTGTAATATGTATTTTTCAAATGTCAATTTATTATAGATTTTATATGCATATATTAATAGGAAATTACGGTCAAACGTCCGCCTAGGAGACCGCAAAAGTCAAACTGTGAGGTTTATTTTGAAACGGAGGGAGTATTTAGAAATATAGCATTAATATCACAAAAACTCAATACTTAAATAAAATTCTTACGTTATAACATTAAAAAATCACAATTTTGATTAATTTTGGATTGAAAATTACACAATTTTTTTCATGATAATTTTAATTAAATAAAAAATAGATCTAAATTCTCAAATATAAAATTTCACTTGCAAGGCATGAGCCTGCTTGACTACTTTGTAAAACAAGAATCAACTTGCTTTTAATTTTTAAATAGCATTTGTTTATGCAGATACTTCAAATCCAAACCAATAATATAAGATTTATTCAATAGTTATAGCAAATAGAAAATAGAAGTTAATAAGTGAGGGTATTCACAAATCAACAATTCATCAAATTAGCAAATCATTGTAAAAGTTAGATTTTTGGAAATAATAACATATCAACAAATGTGGGACTTCATGTTTGTACTTCACTACTTGATTTATAACTCTATTGTCCCGCATGTTTTGTTACTTCTGTATCGGACGATTTAAACTACACAACCAGAGTAGCTTTTGTTTTTTTAATACATATATATAATACTCCCTATGTCCCGTTGGAATGTTCCCGTTCACTATTCATTGGTCAACTTAAGTCACTCCTAATCTTTTACTTTATATATC